AAGACAGAAGACACGGCTTGGACACGGCTTGGACACGGCAGTTTCTTCAACTCACGGGTTCAACTTTTGGACCGTACCAACAAAGGCAAAAACACCAATATATATAGTAAGTCAAGTGGCCAACATAAGGTAAGTCGGGATATGGTAAGTAGGCTCGACTAGGGTTAACTTCCAATGGAAGAAATCAACAAGCCACAAAGAATATTAGCCGTCCAATAGGTAAGGCAACGTTTGGTCGGTTCATCCATTATTTGATGTTGAATTATCGTTCAGTCATTTATGTCGACTGATAAAATTGGTTCTCATCATCGCCCGGGGGTCGTTTGACAACATAATGTCTAACAGGTATCAATTTCGTGATACCACCACTGGCCTGCAGCATAGGGATACTCCCAATCTCGTCTCTTTTATTTGGAAGCCGTGTCTTCTCCACCCATTCCTTATTTATGAGTTCCTTTTAGCATTGGTTCTCTTTGTTTCGGCTTCTTCTACTTATCTTCTTGCGGCGTGTACAACCTAAGTTAATGGCTCTTGGGTAGTTTCTGTAGCTGCTGACCTGTGCTTTCAATACGTGTTTGCATGTGCAAATAAAAGAGAGAGATCTAAGGTTTGGGGTTAAAATAATAAAAAATATAAACAAAGTACGGAGGGAGTGGAGACTGTGGGGTTGTGTGTCCATATATTATATTTTGTTATAATAAATAATAATTTATAATAAACAAATTGTGATTTTATCCGATTAATGTATTTATTTATTATTGAGTATTTGAGCATATGAATTAAAGTAATTATAATTACTTGTGACAATATAAATTGGGTATTTGTACTGAGAAGTGTAGTGTGACATAACTTATATTTTGATTACAAATATTTTGTTCACAACCAATAAATAAGAGTTGCCACTTTATATGGGAAGATTGTTGCGTTGATTTATTCACTAATTCGATTTTTGATTTGTCCTCATCACAAAGTTGGAACACTCCCACTCATTTGATGGAGTTAGGCATCTCATGCCACAATAAAAATGAGGATTTATTATTATTTGACTTATAAATATTTTGTTGGAACCTTCTACTGGAAGTCCTCCAAAAATAAATTCATATATAAGTGTAACAACCTCTGCAAATAATTTTTAAATTATCCAAAATATATGAGATGTTATCTATAGGATAATCAGCCGATTATCCAATTTTAAAAACTTTATATTATAAGATTCAATTTCAGTTAATCTAGAATAATTCCTTTAGGGAGACCGATGTAATTCGATACCAGACATACGTATTTTAATAATAAATTGGATGAAGGAGGAGGCCGCAAGTTTATACATGCTATAAACCTTCCCCCGCTTATTATTTTGAACAATTGGATTTTGATTTTATAATTAATGTGCCAAATATAAACAATTATAATGGCACTAAATTGTTAAATATAATTTTTTAACCACCTCTAATTAATTTAGAGTGATAAAAAAAAATCCAATACCAATGCATATGTTTAGTGCACTGGGTGGTGTTCAATTTAATCTACATGACATGTGATAATCATACATTCATTCATCATCCATAAAGCAATTTTCGCCCGAATTCTTCAATTTCCTTGTAATCCAACCCATTCAATATTCAAAAATTGAGTCCATTTAATTTTTGAGTCGCAATCCTTAAATCAAAAGCCCTTATCCAAAAATATTTGCCCAAGTCATAAAGAAAAGCACAAAAACTCAAAAATAACCTAATTTCACAAATCCTGGAAAATTCGCCATGTATCACATCCACCATCCATCTCCTACAATGACATCGACAGTAGCAACATCAAAAGAGGCCACCATAGCTGCAGCCGTCGAGTGGCAATGGCGACTGCAAACAGCAGTAGCAAGCGCCGCTGCTACATTTGCAGTAGCTATGGCTGTCGCGACAGGCAACAGAAGCAGCTATCACAACCTGTAGCAGCTGTTGCATTTGGATGCAGCGATTGTAGCCACTCCGATCTCGATAGTTGCTATTGCCGCCACTTGTAATTCTACAATGGTTTTTGCATTTTGTTTGTCCTATTTCTATCTCCTTCCATTTCTCTAACAAGAACCAGAAACGAAAAATGTATGAACCCAAAAAACTTCATCTTCTTTTAATACACAAGTGTTGAAGTATGAAAAATATGTACAAAACCCTAATGATGCATGGCTTACAATTTTTCTAGAGAAAAGAAAGACAAATGGAATGAATTACAATGGGAAGAAAAAAAAAAAATTCAAGGGCCAAAAGTGATTATGTATAAACATCTTCTTTAAGCATATAAAGTAGTAAACATGTCAAATTAAATAAACTAACACCGCCCTTACTAAAAATGCATTTTATACTAGGATTCGAAGCACTTAATCCTACTCAAGGCTCTTAACAACCTTGGCTCTGATACCATTTGTTGGTTATTGGATTTAATCATCAAAATAGGAAATTAGTTTTCCTTTGAAGATTAAATGTAAATAAATAAAAGATCTTTGATCTCCTTGAGATCATTGGATGTCTTAAATTCTACCACATAAAAGGAAAATGATAACCTTGAAGGAGATTTTAGTGGCCTAGCCAAGTGCTTTTTCCCTTATATCTTATCCCTTGTGTTCTTTAGGTGCCTCCCTCTTTGGTAAATAAAAATATGGCTGACCCTAAAAACTAAGTGAAAATGTGTCCATAAAGGACATATTTATAACACTCAATTAGGGTTTTATAATTGCACAAATTTCTTTGGACTTAATTGTAGTAGACCAATTAAGTCACACCTTTATTGTAGTTAAGAAAGGGACCTAACCAGACCAACAAGACTTAAGCTACAATAGATGTTTCTAATTGGGTCAACTCTTAACCAATTGAGATATATCTATTAATCTCGGCTCATTGTACCAAAAATCGAGATTCCATTGTCGAGTCAAGTGATAGTTATAGAAGTAAATTATGATCCGATGAAAATATCCTCCGATTATTGTTCCACAAGTCAACCTCCATTGGACCATTAATAAGTTGAAAATGATAAAATAACCGTTTTGTCCTTCAACATTATTACCCTCTAAGTTCCATTTTCATAAGATGAATCAGTTGTGATCAAATAACAATATAGAGTCCAACGATCTCATCATCAAACTACTGAGCACAGGTTCAATTGTCTATCTAAAATATCTTAGAGTGATGATCGTCTCATCTTGATGATTAATGGATTTCACTATCACAAGTATATGATCTCTAATTGTTTCGACGTGATTCCCAAAGCACCAAGATCAATCTTCTAATTAAGATTTCACTCATTGTTACTTCAAAAAACTTGAACTAGCAATCAAAAGTATATTACTCACTCAGGATTTAGTTGAATTGTTTGATAGAGTCTCATTTCGAACGATCACAAATGAGTTATCTATGCGGTTCCCATTTAATGTGCATCAAAAAACACATTATTGTTCTTACTGCCAAATATAGAGAAATCTTAATAAGAACAATGTAATTTTATCAACATAAAGTGTCCAACTTCATGTACTGAGATTGTAAACGACATATTTTGATCACATCATGAATTGCGTCTTACTATACCTAAACCATTGAGTATGTAATTTGTGACGTTCTATATGTTCATGAAACCTTAGATAATCATTTCAAATTGTAGCATGTCAATTCATAATGTCGTTTTTTCAAAATACTACTGAAAAAAAGGATATTAAACTAACAATATCTACAAGTGTTAGCCATATGGCCTCACAGTTTTTTAAAATTAATATTTGTTCGATTGAATTTTACATCTCTCTCAAAATGCATACCCTAGAGGGTGACATTGAGAAATTTCTGGGTGACACAAAAATCTAGTAATTTTTTTTTCTTTATTTCTCTTATGTACTACTGAGTACATAATTTTGGCCTAATAAAACACAATTTCTAAAAGTATAATGTGAATATATCCATAGAACCCAAAATATTATGACTTGAAGTTTTAAAACTTGCTAAAATCATTGCACTTATATAAAAGAGGGAACCAACCTTCACTGTTCATTTCTATGGTCTCCCATTTCATACTCTAACCGGATATTCACTATTCATTAACTGGTTAACTCCTTTTCATAAATATCTCTCTAATAAAACAGCACAGAGAGAAAAGCAATCACTTCTAAGGCCATCTCCAACCCAGCATCAAATTTTGCACCATTTTGCACCAAATTTTGCATCAAATCTTGCACCAAACTAAAATTCATCTCCAACCATTACACCAAAAATTACACCAAATGAACAGTGTTTTACCATTTTCTTCCTTTTTTTATTCTTTATAATTTATTTATTCGAAATATTATTTATTTAATTATTTCATAAATACATAAATTAATAAATAAATAATTACGTTAAATTACGAAAAATATTAAATTTATTAATAAATATAAAAAATATAGAACAATTAATAAAAATACTACAACAACGAAAATATGAAATCATGCTATCAGAAAATAGTACAATGCATTTCGAATTTGGATAGACGATATTACGAAGTAGCTAAATTTTTACAATTTAATTCTTAGAATTCATATGTTCATCCCACAAACGATCGATTAATGCACTTTTAATGTATCCTTTTTTTAAAAATAAAATTAGATTATCGTATGTATGTCGCTATTTAATATATTTCATATTAATTTTAATAAATAATCGTGTTTGATGTATTTTAAATTGTTTTCATTTTTTAATTAATTTATTAATTATTATGTCTTACATTTAAAATTATTTTAAATACAAATACAAATAATATTAATATTAATATTAATAAAAATAATAATAATTTATTGTATTAAAAAATATATAGCACAAATGACATAAATACCCTCAACAAATTTATTTGGAAAATGTTAAATAAGGGCAAAAGGGACTTTTACACTTTGCACCATTTTGGTGAAAAATGGTGCAAAGTTTGATGTTGGGTTGGAGCAATTTTGCACCAAAAAATGGTGCAAAATGGTGCAATGGTGTTGTGGTTGGAGATGCTCTAAGTTCTCTCTCTTGAGCCCCCATAGAATCCCTTTCTTCCACCTATCTCTGTCGCTTGCGAGCACCGAAAATTTCTGCAGATTGACGTGGTAATCTTGAATTTAAAGATTACATATTTATTTGTGCTTAATTTGATATCTCTATTTCATTTTATTGGTTTGATTTTGGTGGTTCATGTGACCCGTTCTCTGCAATTCGTTTTTCTCGTCCCTAATCTACCTCTCATTGGTTCTTGTTCATTTTCTGCCTTCATCCTGCGAAGTCTACTGGTTTCGGAGCTCAAAATTCAAACTCGGGATACTGCTTCAAAGATGATGGCATGTACAAAGTTTGAGGGTAAACGATTTGGCAAGAAAAATAATTTAAATATTTTGTGAAGTACAGTTGAAGTTGTTCTCTTGCAATAGGGACTTTACAAAGATTTGTAAGGTAAGATGTCACAAGGCATGAAGAAGCGGAGTTGGAAGAATTGAAACTGGAGACAGTCAACACCATTAGATTGGCTTGTACTTAGGTAAGAATAATGTTGAACAAATAGGGAATAAAAAAATAGACTGATGTGGCAGCTAATAATTGAGTATTTTTATGATTTTTTTTTCCCCTTTCTTCAATGAAAAATTGTCAAGTGTAATTTGGAAATACTTTTCAGTCATTGACTTTGACCACGTAGCATGATTGCTTAGGTAAATTATAGTGTTTTGAATAAGAAATTTGCATTTTAAGTTATTCAAAATGCTAAAAGATCCTGATATGTTTTATGTTATGTTTATATCTGAGAAAATAATTATATGATTTGAAGATAGATGAGGACGCTGATCTTAGGAATCATTTGAATAAGTGTGAACTGAGTTGTTTAATATTGATGTCAAAAATTGGGGACAAAGATAAGATAATAATTTTGTTGTCTTCCTTACCTAAGTCATATGAGACATTGGTGACCACGTTACTAGTTGGTAAATCTACTTTGATAGTGAAGAAGGTTTTAAATCAAGCACTCTAGACAAAGTCTGAAAGGAGGCGTGGTAAATCGCGAGGAAGAAATAATGTTCGGAGGGATCATTCTCAATGTCATTATAGGAGAAATGCCAAGTGTTAATACCCGCCACAAGAAAGGACACATTAAGGCAAAATGTGAGAAGTTGACATATCATCTTAAAGTAAAGAAGAGTCTAGAATCTAAAGAGGCCTCCGATTCTACGATCATGGTTGATGATGATATTGATAGTGATTATTGTGTCACAAATTACGACTCTTCAAGTAACTCTTGGATTTTGGATGTGTAATCATATATGCCCACACAAGGACTGCTTTGAGGATTATAAGCTATTAGATGCTCATGATGTCGTCACGACTAATAATCATAAACTTGAAGTTAAAGGTTCAAGTATTGTAAATGTGAAGATTTTTTTTATGTAGCCGAGTAGTTATCAATAGGTCTCAAGATTGAGGAAAAGTTTGACACTGTTGGGAGCACTGGATACGTTGACATATAAGTATTCAGCATGCATTGGGAGAATTGATGTAAAGATTAATTATATGGCATTAATGAGAGGTAAAAAGGTTGGTAATTTGTATAGGCTACTCATCGAAAGTCTGAAGTTGTCACGTTACAGTCGCTTCAACGAGAGCCTTCTGCTATTGCAAAAGATTGCGAAGTCGCCAATATGAGTTATGTGACTAGTGAAAATGAAAATTGAAGATTATAGATTGAAGAAGCAAACTGCGAAACAAGTTTGTGTTGTAAATAATATGTTTATTAGTGAATGAAAATTAAATCCATACAACCCTAGTTTTTATTACGATTTTATCCCTAATTCTTTCATACTTTGGTTTTTAATAAAAATATACAATTTTATTGACTTCTTCATTCTCCTATTCTTTTCTCTATTTTTATAATAAGTTATCAGCACAAATTTTTTTTTTATGTTAAAGCTCAACTTGCTTCCGATCTCTAATTTTAGCTCAAGTGATTTTTGAATTCCTCTATAGACTTCAGAGGAATATATTTCCGACTGATTCCATTCGGTGCTGGCAAAAGAGGGTGCCTTGTAATCAATTTGCAATGACAATCATTGAATTTGTACTGACAAATCTTGAACAAAAATCTGACTGGAAATTGTCTAGTGGAGAAAAGAGTGAGAATTATTATAATGAATAATTCTTCTTGGACAAGGCCACATAGACCTTATCCAAATGGGGGCGATGTGGCATCCTCTTATTGGTCAGTTGTCTACGCCTACGTGGTCCTGTCCATATAGCAAAACCCTTATTATAACAAACAATTTGATTATTATAATACGCAATTAATGAAGGCACACATCCATCTCCGAGCGGTTTGAATGTTCTCCCAATTAAGTAGCATAATTACATTAATATAATTTGCATGATTATATTAATATAATAGCATAATTTTATGCAATTATCAAATATATTTAATTTATGAATTATATACTTTTGTTCAAAAAAATTTATTTTACTATAAATTGAGTAATTTTTTTTATTTTTTTAATAAATTTAAACCGTATTATATTGTTGTTCCTGAAATAGACACGTTTCCATGCCTGTAAATGCATTATTTGGTGATGCAGGTTAGAGGAATGCTACTACTAGGAATGTCAAAAGGGCCAAGCCGCTCGTCGGCTCGGCTCGTGAAAATAGGGCTCGTGGGCGGCTCGAGCTCGTAAAATCACGAGCCCGAGAGCGAGCCAAGCGGGCCTTGTCGGGCCCACAAGCGGCTCGCTTGAACGAGCCACGAGCAACGTCGTGAGCCCAAAATAAAGTGACCGTTCTGGTCACTGAATTTTTTTTTTTAATTCCCCCCTTATACTATAAATACCTTTTAACCCCCTTTTATTTTTTTCATATCAATTACTCAATCTACTCCAAGTCTCCAACTCTCTTTTAATATATCAATTATTGAGTTTTTACTCTCTTATGCTGCAAAATATACAATATCAATTCAATTTTTACAGTTTATTAGTTACAATTTCAATTCATCCAATTCTCAATTCTCACAATCTCACTACATTTATATTCTTCTAGTTAAGATTTCATCATAAACAATCAAACAAATTGATCAATGCTCATTTGTTGAGAGCTTATTTGATACGAGATGTAGGCCACATCATGGGGAATCGCCTAGGATGCCACAATGTCAATTTCCAAATGAATTTGTCGATCTAAATGACATATCCATACTTGAAGATGTTCATATTCACGGTCAGGGAAGCCACAATTCAATTGATTTGGATGATATTAACGTTCTCGAAGTAAAACATGAGGACGAATATGCCGAATTAAACATCTCAGATACAAAGAAAAAGCGAAAGGCCAAAAAACCAGCTAAATATTGGGATCACTTTAAGTTAATTTCAACGGGAAAAGTTGTCGATGGCCTTTCAGAATCTAAAGTAGTATGTAAATACTACCAACAAAGATTGACATGGCAAAAAGGGATTGGTACCACCCATTTCAACCGCCACTACAAAGCAAGTGTGGCCAGACATGGACTTCTTCCAGTTGGTCAAACAAAATTGCAATTTGGCAGTCCAGACGTCGGTTCTACAATTTCACCCCTATCCACGTGGGTGTATTCGGAGGATAATACTCGAATCGGAATGGTGAAATTTGTTGCCACCACTGAGTTGCCTCTAGCTATTACAGACAACCAACACTTTGTCTCGTTCATGAAAGAATATCTGCAACCGAGGTACGTTGCGGTAAGTCGAAACACTCTTCATGTCGATACAATACAATATTTCAATAATTCAAAATAACAATTAATTATGGATTTGCAATAATATGGGCGTGTTATATCTTTAACTTCTGATAATGGGAAGGGGTTAATAAAAGAGCATATATAGCTGCAACCGCACACTATATAGACCCACTTTGGTGCATGTATAAGAAAATTATTGCTTTCAGAATTATTGAATTTTCTCACAATGCTAATAATATATATAATGTTATTATCAGTATTGTTAGATAATATAATTGTGAGACTAAAATTCGGTCTTTTACTTTTGATAATGCTAGTGTTAATAAGGTAGTTGTCGATAAATTGAGTAGGACATTTCAACCTGATTTTGGTGGGTATTTGTTTCATATTCGTTGTGTGTGTCATATATTGAATTTAATTGTGCAATATGGCTTAAAACATATAAAGGATGAATTTCAAAGGATTAGGAATGCATTAGTATATATTACGATCTCTCCTAGTAGAAAACAAGCATTTGTAGATTTTTGTGCCAAACTAGGAGTGACAACTGCTAAAACATTTGTTAGCGACATAGACCATAGATGGAGCTCTACTTACTCACTATTGAAGTCATGTGAAAGTTTCGAAAATTTAATAACTGACTTTTATAACAATAGACACATTAGAAGTGATGACGATGACATGTTAAATGAATTCGATTGGATTTTAGCTTTGAAAGTTAAACAATTTTTGACATCTTTTTATGAGACCACAAAGATTTTATCCGACATTTATTATCGTACAAATTGTATGGTGTTTGAATGCCTTTATATAATTGCAAGAACATTCCATAAATATAAAAATGATCGTGCTTTTAGTGAAATTATAATTGCTATGGAATTAAAGTTTAGAAAATATTGGAAAGAACTGCCTATGTTATTTCCTTTAGCACGCGCAATGGACCCTCGATATAATATTTCAGGAACTAAATACGTAATTGATCAAATCAATAAAGCTTTAATACTTGATACATCTATCACATATAAGAATTTAGAGCAAACATTATGTGGAATGTATGATTTATATGCGGAAAGAATGGGTGTGAATGTTAGTCGGGTACCTTCTGCACCTACTCCTTCTGATGAAATTGAAAAGGATGATGCCGAAATATTGAATTTATTTTAAGGCATTAATACATTTAGATATGATGCAACTGCAATGTGTTCATCTAGTGCCATATCTTTTACATTTGCATCTCATCAAACATTGGGCGAAACTCAAAATGTGATGCCTGTCGAATTAATTGATTATTTCAATCATAATATGCCAACAAACAGAACAATTAAAAAAAGTTCAGAAGAAGTAATTGAATTTTGGCGAAAGTATGAAAGACGTTGGCCAATTGTTTTTACAATTGCGAAAGATCTGCTGACACCTCCGGTTAGCACTGTTGCTTCGGGATCTGCTTTTAGTGCAGGTAAAAGGGTTTTGACCGATGTCAGGAGCTGACTGAAAGAAGATATTTTGGAACCGTTAATGTGCGTGAAGGATTGACAGGACACTCATTTTCAACTACAAGATAAATACGCTGAAATCGCACATCGTCAGGTAAGTGATATTTGATCTAATTATATTAATCAAGATTTCTTTATTTTTTAATTATTAAATTTAATTTTCTTTAAAAAATTGTACACATTACAACAAGTTGTTCGTGTACAATTTTTTACTTCGCCTACTTAAAATTGATATAGCCGGTCTCAAACCCGGATAAACGAGGAGGGTTTACATTTTATTTACTTTAAAAAGAAATCTAAAAAATATATTTTTTGTAAATGTATTTCAAAAAATAATTTGTTTTCATTATATAAATATTTTATACTTTATAAAAAATATTGCAATATAATATAAATTAAAAAATAAAAATTGTTTTCATTAAATTATTTGTTTTTTTTAACACTTTTTATTTTT